ATAGTTTCTCATAATTTAACATTTTTTAGATCGTACATGGCCACATGGTAAATTAATATATTCGTTAATGCTTTTATTAGAACCTTATGCTTAATTTAGAATTAGAGGTCTTGAAGTCCCGAATGGCCAGAAGAGGCCAGTGGTGAAAACCGGGTCTTCTGCTCTACTTTAACAAAATGTATATACCTAGGTACACCAGAATTTTAATTTATAATATATAACCTATTTTTATCTTATCTTCATGCCGTATCCTTTGCGGGTAGGTAGAGAGCAAGAGCGGCACAAAACATCCTTTTTCTTGTCGCCTCCTCCACTTTCATTAATTATATCATATCCAGGTTTTTATGGCGTATGACATCACCTATCAACCACCTACTTTTATATTGCATATCCGAATGGGTATATTGTTGTTACCAAATTATGCAATAACAACCGCAAATAATGTGGCCATACACAGTATGGCAATATTCTATTGAATTCTTTACAGTGAATCGGTGATAATCATAGTTGTTTTGATGAGATTAAGTAAAAAGAATGACTTACTCGTGTAACGTCTGGCACAAAATTATCATCTTTTGTGTTTCTGAAAGAAGTGCACGTGAAGCTCTGTTGTTAACTCTGAGGTGGATTCAGAAAAAAATGTTTTGTACGCTCAGAAACTGAGAATTGATTGATAAGTAGAACTATTAAGAAAAATCTAACAATTTACTACTAGGTGAACTACTAAGTAGTTTGCGATAAATCATTGCTGCTATGACGGTAGGTGCACGCGTAGCACGCACATGATACACCGTGTTAACATTGACAGTGCCAACCTTGGTAGCTGCCACCTGGTGTAACCAGGTCACTCAGTCGCATGCTTTCTAAGTCTAACATTACCGCGACATCTGCGTTTACAGGGCCACTGTCTGATACGGTACAAATGGGGGGGCTATTCTAAAGAATCGGTTTTCATACTTTGTTGACAAACAATAGAACCTTTTTGGAAGCCAAATGTTTATAATATGGAGCTCTGAAATAGGACAAATCTTAGTTTTATACGTAACTAGTGGCCGACGGCGACTTCGTCCGCGTTTTCCATTATTTCTTCGCTCCTAATAGTTGCAGCATGATGTTATATAGCCTAAAGCCTTCCTCGATAAACGGTCTAATCAACACAAAAATATTTTTTCAATTCGAACCAGTAGTTCCTGAGATTAGCGCGTTCAAACAAACCAAACTCTTCAGCTTTATAATATTAGTAAAGATATTTATTAATAATGAATAACATACACAGAAATATTATACTTTAACATATTTTTTGGATCACTAACATCACTGTAGCACATTGACAAACGATTATATAAAGCAGAGATTTCTAAAATTTGATTTAATGTGAATAGAAAATTTAATGAATTTCAGCCATCTCATATATTAATTGTAAGGATATCGGTAGTTATTTGTCGGTTTTCCTGGTTTACAAATAAGAATAAATTGAGTGGAACACCAATATTCAATTTAGTTAACATGGTATTTGTCCTTGGGGCCTGTCATGACTTTAGGCAATAAATATATATCAATGTAGACTAAAATATGAATGTGTCACGCGCCTTTTATGTTAATTTAATTGTCTTTATTATTGTTCCACTAAACTTGTTTCCATGTGTACGCACAACAGCACATCAGGCCTTTTAGACGGAATTTTTACGATTAATTTTGAACTTAATGGTCAATTGATAAGGCTTAAAATCGATAGAAGAAAATATTTTTAGTAATCTGCCGCCGATTGAACATCTTGTGGTTTTGAAACACGTTCGTTCGCTTTTTAATGTTATTTCATAATATTTCCAAGAATTTATCGTGGAGCAGTTTGTGGAAAGAATTTGCACTGCTTCAGATTCATGTAATGTGTATTATGACCTTAGTTATTTAATTAGTAACAAGAAAATTAAGAGTTATGTCATAGTGAATACGTGAATTCACAAAGTTCTGCTTTTTTGATGACTACGTTTCATATTTATACTCTTTTTTTATGAAGAAAATTGATAAATGCTTCAGTCAAATTGCAGCTGAGTTTGCAACACTTTTACAAAAATCGTAATGGTTTCCGAGTAATAATAAGTAATAATATTTTTTATGCTCAATTCGTCATCCTCTGTCTCTATCTATTTCAATACTAATGATAATAAGATACGCTCGGCATTGGGATAGATAGTTTTTTAACTTTACCCCCGCTTGAAGAAAAATACTTAAAATGTCGAGTGTCTCGAGCCCAAATTGGGACTCAAAAACGTAACCTTCCGTATCACGGACGACTGCTCTAACTTGAGCTATTCAGCTACCCGAGACCTAGCCGATATTGTCGAATACAAGCGTTCCTACTTTCACTTCTAGTGAGTGCACTTTCAATGTTCAGCAGTCGACGTCGAGCATAGCGCTGTCGCAGCATAGAGGTTCAATGAAATAAAACTTTTTGGAAGTAGGTTTTATCTGATTGAACCGCTCTATGCTGTGTTTACAGAATATCTGAAAATATACCTTATCATCCTTATTGAATAATTTTTAAAAATATTTCAAATTTCTATTAAGAATTAAACGCAGTCTAATTATTTTCTTATAAAAAAAATTCGGTATAAATATTGTGAATGCAAAGTACATCATATATATTTAATGAAATCACAAAAACTGATCGATGCTGTAAAAATCCGAACCCCAATTCGAATTGTCTCGTAACGTTATTTATTAAAGAAATTGTATTGGTTCCATTTTTTGTATTAAAATACAAAACATAATTGATCAATTATACGTCTCAGATATTCTATTCTATATCTAGATATTATATATCATGTCGAAACTAACTTCACTTATGCCGCGAAGCGTTATTACCAATTCAAGATTGAGCGGATGCCGCTTTTTGAAGTAAATTTGGACACCAGAGTGTATACATATTATTATGTATTTATTTATATTATGTATTTGTGATAATAATACATATTATTTTGGTAATGACATGATTTATGTAAATGTCATTACTTATGATAAAAAGCTGATAAGTTTCTTTCGCTTGTTCTTCTTGTCAGCTAAAAGACGTCCTGAACAAGTGGTAGGGGAAAATTTTTTTTTGAACGATTCAAAAGTGCTTGTAATAGCCTACTTGAATAAAGATATTTTCATTTCATTTTCATTTCATTTCAATTCGAATTCGGGTTTGGGTTTTTACTGAATCGCAAAAAAATAATTTTTCATTAGATCAAAGCGACATTACCTATACAAATTTAACAATCATTAGAGGTTAAAGGCGTCATCAAACCTTAACGGATGTTTGTGCAACTGGCCGTCAGACAATTAATATTATTATATTCTTTCATATTCTTGTTATATTATTTACATATTTAAACAATGGTTTAGGCTTTTTTAATTTTTAAATTACGTTTTAGTTTGACTAAAAAAATTAAGACAATGTTGTTTCGAAAAGTGAAATAAACCAAGATTGATTTAATATACATACATAAAAACATAACATTGTAGAATAATATTAATAGATTCATTGATATAATAAGCTATTTTAAGCTATGGCTGGGATATAGGAATGAGTTTGTCGGACGCTTTGCTGGTGACCTATATATAGGTCAGGTCAGGTCAGGTTTATCCAAACCTCTGTTAGGCACAAGCTTCTCACAAACTGTTTCCTAGATATTGTTCTAAGATATAATTTGTGAAGGAAATAACTAAATAATAATAATAATTTTACTAAAGATACCATCGATCACCAGTACTTAATTGTACCGAATTATGTTTCGTTTAGCATTATCAGTTTTAGAGTTCTGTTAAAATGTAATATGATACAGCATTTTGAAATATCGACTGCATACAATGTTTTCTAGATGTTATTCAATAACATTACAAATAACTTACGAGGCAGGATAACATCCACATTGAATTATTAATAATGTTTTCCTGGTGCTACCGATGAGTACGAAATTAAAGTTTCATCAAAGTTTCATCACTCAACTATTTAGATATGTCAAGATTTAGATTCAACTGCTTAAGCAGATTGCGTCTGCAACATTTATTCTCGATTTCAAATGAGTTAGATATTGCTAGGGTTGATATCTGTTACATATCTATATGGCAAATTAGTATAATAAATGTTGTAACCCTGTACGCTTCTCTATGCACTGGCAACAGGATTATATCTCTCATTGTCTACAAGTGGAGTGGGCAAACGGCACCGGTTTATTGAAACCCAAATCAATAGTTTTATTTAATAACCAATTAATTAACCTATAATAAAAGTAGACGTCACAGTGTCAGTATTAAAATTAAAAAGGTTAGTGGAGGTTTCAATACTCTTTAACCAAACTTCGCTTCAGGTCGATTGATTTGATGAAGTGGTCGATTTTTGTAATAAAGGTTTTAAGAAAATAACTGAGTTAATACAGTTTGATGTAGCGATGTTAATGCAGGAGTTGGTAACCCTAATGTTATCTGAACGTATAATAATACCATTGTCCCCAATTCACACGGTCATTGGTAAAGTGGACCGATGTACTATCAGCAACATAATTTTGAAGTTACAATAGAACCGACGGAATTGGAATATTACGAGATTGGAGAATGGATTTACAATACCTACTGTTATGACCGTAAACGAAATATTGTACTGACTTTTTCTTAGAATTTAAAACGCAATTAGAGAGTAGTACCCTTTTCATCCTTAATGTTTTCAATACAATCAATAAGAACTTTTTAAATCATTTGAATTTAAGTTTTCGCAATTACGGAGTAGACCCTCAATATTGTTAGCTCGTTCGTCCACTGTATACTTGTACATTTGGTATCCCTTCGTATTGACTACAAATGTTAATTTTTGATATTACAAATTTTAGTTTCCTTCCCTGAAATATGTATATATTACAATGGAGCTGTCTATATAAAAAGTTTGCATAAATATATGTATTGATATATTTTTTGCAATTTTCTGATTTTATATAAAATTAATTATACAATATTGTTTTCAGGTGTGGCACAAAGGCTGCTTCAAATGTCAGGAATGCGGTATGACACTCAACATGCGTACTTACAAAGGATACGGAAAGCTGCCCTACTGTGAAGCGTAAGAACTCTTCATTAGACTAATTATAACTTACATTTAAATTTTAATATGCGTCAATAGGGATGGTTTTATTTATCTGTCCTTCGTTTAGATTATGAAAGAATATTAAACATGTTTTTTTTTATATTTTTTGAGTAATCATAAAATTACAGTGAGACCACAGGGTGAGACGCATGACGTACATCTTTGTACATTTTCTACGTGGTTGTGGCGTAGGGAGCCTCCACTCCTCAACTTTGATACCTATTATCTTAGTCATTTCTTGTTACATTAAATATTTTTGTATTATCTGATTCATGGGCTAAATAGATTTTTTTTGTCTAGGCATCGTCCCATAGCCTATGTTACCCGTGTAAATGAAGGGATTTCCATCTCTCTCTTTGTAAAATTAGTATAGAAAATATGAGTAGTGCTCATTAATAATAATAATATATATTTTCTGTTACTACTACTTCCTTAATATGACTTGCTTTAAGAAAGAAAAATATTGTTATGAACGAACCGTATAATGACAAAAATATGAAAGCTGTTTTGTAAAGCCATAATCGTTGTAACTAATATGTTTTACCTGTGTGACTAAACATAAAAATGAAAGTGACCACACTGTACAACTGAGCCATCAATCTACCTCTGTGCACGCTAAACTGTTGCCTCGTCACACCAAATTGAACTTTAACACTCCGTTTTTTAGGTTGATAAGTATCCGAATTTTATATGCTAGCCGTATTGTCATTCAGCCCGCATTGCCATACCTCTCTGACATTATGTCACTATTATGTACGTAGAGTTAATTGCGCGAATAGACAGCCACGTGAGAAAGTTACCATTCTGGTAGTTTTGCTAACGGAGACGTTCTTGATTATCAGGTTGTTGCACAAACGTCCATTAAACTTTTCATTAGTTTAAACCGATATAACCCGTACAAATTTGATATTCATTAGAGCTTAAAGGCGTTATTAAACCTTAATGGACGTTCGTGCAACTGACCGTGTATCTTACTATATTGTAATATTTTCAGATTTTAAATATTGTTAATAATTTATACTAATAAGAATATAAAGTTGAAATAAGTAATTATGTATTATTTTATTTCTATTGAGTAAACTCGAAAAAGACTGATGAATCTCGGTTCTGTTTATTTTCCGAGCAATGTTTTATTACATATTTTCATTAGAGTTAAGAATTAAATATTTTTTATTCCGTTGAGTGCGACGAGAGGCACAGAAGAGCAAAAGATCGAGACAAGTGATGAGTAAAAGTTGAATTAGTTTTTTTAGGCTTACGTCCGTCTGTCTGTCTTATGATCATTATAGTTAGTTGCAAGTTTTGTAGATGATGATATGAGACATACAGATTATCTATAACAACAAATACTGGGGCTCCATACAAAAAACGTTTTTAATAATAATGGCACGCAACCCTGCGTGCGCGATTCCGACTTGCACTTGGGCGCTTTTTTAGGATACGACTTTATTCCGTTTTATTCCACCTATTTCTATAGTAATTATTATAGATGGACATATCAATCTAGTAGCCAATTAGCCTGCAAAGAATCCGAAGTAGAAAGTGTAATATATAACCCGCTCAGATTGTTTTTTTTTTTTTAAGAATTTAACGTTCATATTATACGTACTATGTAAATATGCATTCATTTAATTCGCCTTATCTTTATATCTATAAATACTGCATGTTTTAACCAGTACTTTGAGTTTTTTTATAATGCCTGAAAATCAAACATTTTCCTTTTTTTCTCTTTGTTAACTCTATGGCTTAGTCCCGGTTATGCAATATCCTTTTCCTTTTTAATGGTAACATTTTTTAAACGGTCAAATTGCAAACGATTGTTTCTTAAATGGACCCATTGTGGTTCATCTGTTTAGAAATGTTTATGGTCGTTCGCAATAAATGTTTACTAATTAATAAATATTGCCAAGAAAATGCGAGGTTTTTACTTACCTACAATATTTAGATGCACAAGTCGTGAGGAAGCGTTATGTTAAACTTGCAAGACTAACTGCTTAACTGTGCTAATCTCTTTTTTTCTCTCTCTCACTATATATGTTTCTTTCCCTGTAACGGCTTATAACTGAGGATTGTGGTGATCATCTTAGGTTAATTCATATTTAGATTGGATTATTTGTCACTAGTAGCTCGGTGGCTTGGTAGATAAGCGCTGTGGTCCGTATTCGTTGTTGTTAAGCAACCTTCGCAAGGGTCGGTCACTAGATGGGTAACCAAAAAAATTATTATCTCGAGCTATCTCTGTGCTTCGGAATGCACGTTAAGCCGTTGGTCTCGGTTGCATTTGCGGTCGTTAATACCCTTCAGTCTGCATTGGGCCAGCGTGAAGGTTCATGACCCATCCTCCTTAACCATCCATAAGGAAGATCTGAGCCTCTGCAGTGGGGACGTATAAGGGCTGATGATGATGATGATGATTTGTCACTATCGACTTCTGGGTACGCATCTTTATCGATCCTGTGATCCTTCTGATTGGTATTCTAGATAGTCTTCTAGAGCGTTTGCCCTCAGTATCGCCAACCACGACAAACTTCTCCAGACTCTCATCCACTTTTTGTACGCTATGTTTGAAGTGGCGGCATATAGTAAGCGGCTCTTGACCTTAAACTGTGAAAGAATCGACGCGTTTGTGCATTTGGCAGTTTAGGGTATTCTTAGTATTCGCTCTAGCTTCTATATTTCGAATCCATCGATCCTCTCTCTTTGTCGACGTAACATTGACCACGTTTCGATTTTGTGGTGATAGTAAGTATGCTAATAAAACCTTAAAACAAAATCTAAAAGAAAGGTTTTTCAAACTACACGTAAAATATAGGAATTTCATTTTTTTTTGTTTATCCCATAGTTTACGTGGAGACTGAAAGTACAATGTAATTTACAACCTATGTCGTCTGCGCGTCATGTAGTTTCCAATAAGTGAAAGAATTTTCATGATAAGATCAGTATTTCCGAAGATTATAGCTAGTGACAACTTTTTTTTATTATATAAATAAATAGTCCATTAATATCTGAGAAATAATGTAGAAGTAACATCATGTCTGCGGTTCATTGTTTCGGAAATACGGTGCCATGTTTGTGAAACTGCTGATAGTCGGCCGAAATCGCTCCGTACAAATTCAAGGCACTAAGTGACGTCACATAGTGCAACGGTAGCGAAAATCGTATGGGCTTCTGGGCAATCTTTGTTTATATATCTTATAATGAAAGTTGTAACATACGTATGTATTTTAGCAAATTTTTGTAGTATTTTCCCTACTTTTTTCGAGTTTTCAAAGCATAAAGTTTATTTTGTTAAGTATTTATAAGTTAAAATGGTTATTTTTTTCCGAACATATAACAAAAATCCGTATTTTTACTTGTAGGACACAAGCCTAGTATATAATATCTGTTTTGTGTATGTAGTGGTAGCACAACACCAGTAAATCACTTTGTAATATTTCTAACATTGAGTAAAAGATATTTTTTACGCTGATTAGTGTGCCGTCATCGTGCCGTATACTGACGAATGAAAGTACATGTTGTATAGTCGTGGACACCACGGCGATTTTTTGCTAATTCTTCACACTTTTACTCGGCGGGAAACTTTTTTTTGCGGTAATTTGTTGCGCGCTTCGCCCATTGACTTTTTGCCTATCGTTGTAAAATTAGCTCGTGCTAAAGAATTACAGTTGTTTTTTATATTTCATTTAATTAGTGCGATCAGTTTTCATTGACAACTGTCTGTAATATTGTAACCTGTACACACCGTTGCACAGTGTATTAGAAACCCCGAGTTTGATTCATCATGTTTTTATTTTATATAATTTTATAAAATACACTGAAACTCCGTCTTACACTCCGACTGGATGTTTTCCCGCGTCATTTTCCACGTAATTTATAGACTATATCACCCGTGGGTAAAAGAATTTTTAAAATAGGGCCAGTTGTTTCAGTGGTATTTCAATGTAAATTAATGCATTAATTCAACGTAAACAAGAAACAAATCTTTCCTCTTAATATAACTATTTACATACATTTTTAAACTTCCAAAATGTTTTTCCACCAAACACTTTAGACGTCTTTTATCTCACACGTGAACATGATTTTGTATCCCAAAAATTTTCGGATGTGCCATTACAGTCGGTAATAATAAAACTCGAAATTTTCAAAAGCCAGTTTGACAATTAAACAATATCGTATACACTGATTTATTCACTGATTTATTTCTGATATCCGTAACAAAAGTGCATAAGCTACTTACCTCGGAATCTGATCAATGTGTGTGATGTTGTCCGAAATTTATTTATTTATTTATTATCTCTTGTATATTACAGACATGTGCCAAAAGCGAAGCACACCACTATGGCGGAAACGCCGGAGCTTAAACGGATAGCTGAAAATACGAAGATACAGAGCAATGTCAAGTATCATGCCGACTTCGAGAAGAGCAAGGGGAAGTTTACACAGGTAGGAATTAAGCCACGGTGGGCGCTGGGCGACCTGTTTGACCCAACTTTAATTTCAATCACCACTACTGTCAGCAAGCAGCATGCTAGATTATCCAAAATGAGAAATGTTAAAGCTTCATAAGAAATGTTAAAAACAAAACTAGATTCACTTAATTACCTCGTGTGTTCATAAGTTTGGAGACGAAATAAAAGGTGCTTAACTTTTTTAATAAATTAATCTTTTTTCTAAAATTATCAGTAAAAAGTTTGTCTCAAAACTTATGAACACAGATATTCCATGGTAATCTGATACGCTGCTGTGGCCACCTTCAAATTTCTGCTCTGTCATAATCATCATCGACCAGTAAATACTCCACGCGTTTATAATCATCCCTTTTATGTCCCCACTGCAGGATCTCAGTCAGGCCTTCCTTATAGATGGTTAAGGAGGATGTCCCAAGACCTTCCACGCCGATCCAATGCGAATTAGGTATTAACGATTCTAAATGCAGTCGGGCCAACGGCTTAAAGTGCCTTCTGCAGTACGGAACATATCGAGATACTAATTTTTTGATCACACATTCCGTGCCGGACTCTTGTGAAAGTTCCTTGACAACAACGATCGCGGGCTGCGGTGCTTATCCACTCACTACGCCACCGATCTACTCGCCATGAGTTAGAAAACGTTTATTGTCGGAATCAAATAGAATAATAATGAGCCATAACCATTTTGTAACCATAGCGGATTGATGAGTGTTAATGTATGCTGATACAGCCAGGACCAACGCCTTTGACTTGCCATTGTTTTTGGTCAGTCAACCTATGAAGTTCTGCAGTTTCTGCCTCATACCCTTTTACACGCGCCATTTATAGGCCATTTCGAAGATCATTTGATGCTGATTCTTCTGTCATAAAATAAATCCGTGTGTAGAATATTCAAGTTTAATATTATATAGGTGGCAGACGACCCTGAGACTCTCAGGATTAAAGCGAACACGAAGATAATTAGCAACGTGGCATATCACGGTGACCTCGAGAAGAAGGCTCAGATGGAGAAGCAGAGACAGATGAACGAAAACGGAGAATTGGTCGGTGAGTGTGCGGCAGATATAAATAATGAGTACACATGTACAGGAAAGAAAGAAATTATTTTCTTTCTTTCCTACGGGACGTTTCAGTTGTTCATATATTCGAAAGACTGAATTTTTTTATTGAGGCACGACAAAGTGACTGTAATACAACTAACGGAAAGTGCTTTTACAGTCCAATAATACTAATAGCCGTAAAGAAGCTACTCCCGGCATTTTATCACCAGTGGCGGACTAAACTCGTCGAGAGGCCGGGGTGGCATTAGGTTCGAACATACAACTTTTTCCAGCCGGGCAGAAACTTGATATTGCGTTTACCCTCCCCTCTCCCCTACCAAGACACCTTCTAAAACTACGAAACTAGGCTTTGTGAAAGATTAGACAGTAATTTACAATAAACCCTAATTTGTGATTTGATCAGGGAACTTGCAGCCATTTGAAGGCCCCACAAGTCAAGAGGTCCGGGGATTGCCCCCTCCGCCCCCCTTAGTCTGCCACTGGCTATTGCTATCTTATCGACTAACAGGTCGCCTCTTTACATCTCTTTTGAAGGACCCAATGTTAAATGAAGTTGGAAACACGAGGGGAGACTGTTCCATATATGTGGGGGTTGTGGGTAGTTTATTTTTTCCTATTGTGCCTGTAACAACTATCTGGTTACACTGTCAGGTATTGCAAACCATTTCAATAATTATTTGGACTATTAACTGTCAAATATATTACTCACCTGTGACGTCATAGGTTAACGAACCGTAGCGTTGCACTAGGGCAAAGAAATGTAATGGTAAAATGCAAGTCGTTGAGATTATATTTAGATGCGATTATCACGTATTTTATTATAAGAATTGGCCCGCTGGTCATAGATTGGATAGGATAAATTTATTGCCTTCTCCGTGCTTCTTATGAAGGCACGTTAAACTGTCAATCCTGGCTTCATCTACAGTTAATACCCACCGAACCGCACTTGGCTCGCGCGGAGGGTCATGGCTCGTTTTAAAATGTGTTTTTTTCCATGAGCAGGTCTGTGCCCCTGCAGTAGGTATGTTAAATTGATAATAAATCGATGTTAAAAAGACTTTTTTCTGTTTCGCGTTAATATTTGAACAACTGAAACTCAATACACAATGCATTTGTGACTGTTGAAAACGCTGTGGTGGTATGTTGTACCATTTACATATGAATTTTGCTTCATTTGCATATTAAATAAATTAAGTGTTTTTGTTTGTTATGTACTTCACAACTTGACAAATTTGCCTACTCTATGAAATAATTTTTAAGGTAAAAGTAAGGAAAGGTGAGAAAGGGAAATTCCATTTGTTTTAACGTCAATGTACCACCTACCATTGTGCACAAGTAATGTGTTAAACGTCACGACATATACATATCATGTAATTGCTGGAATGTGGGTTTGTTACGTCATCACTATGGAGTCGGCGCCATGACACCCGTTAACTCGTCTGACCAGATATTATGAGTTGTGTGTATAATACATAAAAAATAATCACGCTCTTATATCATAAGGGTTATTCCACAAGGATACCCCAAATAACTTCATTGAAATGATCATTCAATTCTCAACTATAGTATGTATAACTATATATATCATTAGAATTGTTAATTTCTTTAATTTTTGGGGTATCTGAACCTGGTGAATTTTCAAGTATTTGTAAAATTAATATATTCACATATTATTTGGTAATGGTTGGATAAGTGACTGAATAGCAGTTTGGAAATACGAGTATTTTTATTAATTGCTAATACTAGATTAATGTCATAATCTCTGGTCAGTATCATCTTTCATGTGTTCTAATGTATGTTCACGCTTTATATGTAAAGACCTGCCAAGCGACAACTATCATCAACAAATCGAGAATTACGCATCCGAAATGCTGCCCTCGAGCGTGCCGCCGCCTCACTTGCCGCCCAAAAACCACTATCAGACCCCTAATACTCAGTACCAGACCCAAAATACTCAGTACCCGCCCCAAAATTCTCAATACCAACCGCAAAACAGCCAGTACCAACAGCAGAACTCGCATTACCAGCAAAATACTCAGTACCAGGGTCACACACAACAGGTGCAGAATGCACAGCACCACGTTCAGAATACTCATGACGCTGTTCAGAATACACAACATCGTGTACAGAATACGCAGCACCAAGCGCAGAATACGCAACACTTAGCTCAGAATGCGCAACACATAGCTCAGAATGCGCAACATCAAACGCAAAATGCACAGCATCCAACTCAAAATACTCAATATCAACAGTACCCGAGTCAGAATTACCAGCAGGAGAGATACTCGGGGGATCAGTACAAGAAATACGACGATTATCAGTATCAATACGAGTATCAGAATCAAAATCAGTATCAGGGTCAGTACCAGGGTAATCAGTATTACGGAGCTGGTGGCCAGCCGAAGATTGGGAGGATCCAAGATTATGACCCAGTCAGTGACGGACCTAGGGCTCCGCCTAACACTCAGAGGGCGTCTGCCACGCTTATTTATAATAGTACGAGCGACGGGAAAAGAGGTTTGTCGTTTTGTGTTTTCGGCATGCTTTTTATTTTTTTGAACGTGTGTTGTTTTGTTTGATTATATTTTTTTTAATGTTTTAAGTAAAATATATCTAAACCTATTTCTATTTTCCAAAACTATACAAGAATTTTAAAGACATTGTAATCGTCGGATTGCTTATGATTGATCTAACAAGACGGATTATAATTGACTATGCTTATTTTTAGTTGCAAAAAAATATCAAATTCTGGTAGTATTTTAACATTATGGACTAAAAATTAAGGTCAGAAATCGACTACAAAATATTTCGGAAAACCCGATGACATGCCGATTAAACAAGATTTTATAGTAATAATATTTTAATATGGTACAAGGTTCTCAGACGGGAGGACAACAAAGCAGCCGGCAGATTGGACGGGTCACCGATCTAGATCCCCTCGCTACAGAACAAGCGAAACCTAATCATACCTCACAGGTAAATTATTATGTAGTCTTTGCTATTTTGTCCGACTTCCCCCTCTTAAATTATAGCCTATGTCACCTGTGTATTATGTAAATAATCTAATCATTCTTTATAATTATTAGTATGATACTATCATAAAATAATCGCCCTTTATAAGAATACTAGCAGTTTTCCCGCGACTTCGCACGCGCAAATTATAGCCTATGTCAACCCGCGGACGATATAGCTTCCCTCGCGTAGGTGAAAGAATTTTTAAAATCGGTCCTGTAGTTTAGGAGCCTATCCGATGCAAACAAATAAACAATCAAATATTTCCTATTTATGATATTAGTACCCTCCAATCCGCATTGGGCCAGCGTGGAGGGTTGTGGCCCATCCTCCTTAACCATTCATGAGAAGGGCTGAGCCCCTGCAGTAGGGGCGTAAAAGGGCTGCCTATCCGATGCAAACAAATAAACAATCATATATTTCCTATTTATGATATTAGTACCCTCCAATCCGTATTGGGCCAGTGGGGAGGGTTATGGCCCATCCTCCTTAACCATAAGGAAGGCCTGAGCCCCTGTAGTGGGGACGTAAAAGGGCTAGTGATGATGATAATATTAGTATAGAGTATAGAAATAATACATCGACATAGTCAAGCCGATCCTGTCAGTATATCAGAAGATGACCCCCTACAAACAAACAAAGTTAGAAACTTTACCTCTGTATAAAAATATATGTAGGGGAGAGTCGGTTATATTGTACTACATTTTACTTTTACAATTATAACTTGTTTTAATGTTGATTAAAAAATACTTTTTCTCGTATAAAACAAAGTTTAGAATCTAGTCTAACTTTTCCATCAAAATCAGTAGCGTACCTGTTTGTATAATATTTTTAACATATTTTATTCTAGAGGCTTACCTTTGGAACAATTTATCCAACTAGTCCGATTAATTGTACCATAGGTATGATAAATTGTACTACTAATAGTTATGTCACTTTAAATTAATACAGTTGCTAAATTGTTTGATAAAACAAGGTTTAAATAAAATATAACGCTTCCATTAATATTTTTTTAACTTTAATTTGGAAAACAAGCGAAAGAAACTAAATCAGTATTTCTTTATATCCAAATTGTGTGATTTACAAACATAAACGCTTCTCAATTAAACTTTTCATGAAATAAAAGTAACTTCTCGTAAAAGAAAAACAAAAATAAAACAATCAAACTTATTATTATCCTATGAGATCAAATTCTTTCTTTAACTACCCTACTTTAGTTCAAACAATTATCGCAAATATCAGGATTCGATGTACAGGTCTCGTGGACCCATCTCTTGCAACGAACACACTGAATCCAGTCAACATTTGGGCCATTTTTGTCGAAGTAGTGACCATCACACAAAGCACAAACATTTTGTTCGTCAACATCTTTACTATCATCACTACTAATAGAAGAAGATCTATTTCTTTTCTGATTTTTCATTATAGTTTTCTTTTCAAGTTGTTTCTTTGGGATTAGTTTGTTACCTTGTTTTCTTTCTATCTTTGGCCCTTTTACTATTTTATCTTTTGTTATCTTATTCTTGATTTTTTCATATTTTTCTGTATTTTGTTTTTGTTTAGCAGTAACTGCTTCCTCTAATTTATTTTTGTATGGACTTGAAGTGATTTCAACTGCCTTCTGTACGGTTTTCTTATGTTGATTACTTTTGGGTATAGGACATAAAGACTGCAATGACTTTCTTATTTCTTTGGTTTTTAAACCCGATGTAGAAGGTTGAGGATTGTCTTCACTTTCTGCTGATTGGACGAGTAATTGGGTTGTTGGGGAGTTTTCTTTTCCTTTGATTATATCGTTCCTATCTTTATTTGGCTTGGTAAGGTTCAAGCTGCTTATTTCTTTTTTAGCACTAACATCCCGTGACGTACTTTCATGATTGGTATTTTTGGAACTGTCGGCATCCATATTTTCAGCAGCTGTGAATAAATGTTCTGGAAAGATATTCCTGTTTACAGGCTATACACCAGCTGCTTTAAACCCATTAGAAATAGTACCAATCACTGCAGCCCTTCCGTAAGCTTCAGAAAACAAACTTGCTACTTGATACTGAGTAACTTGACGACCAGGATTTGTTCGTAACCATTTTTCCATAGCTTGAATGTAGTATGTACTAACTGGCTTAAAAAATGAGACATCCAGAGGTTGTAGCCGGTGAGTGGTATGCCCTGGTAACTGTAACATTATGATACCATTATCTTTAGCGAGATTTAACGCTTCCAGATTCTTCGAATGTGTAGTATGTCCATCAAGCAGAAGTAAAACTTTTTTTGTTAGTGATGGTTTGACTACACTAATAAAATGTTTAATCCACTCAACAAACAGTGCTGAGTTAATATAGCCTGATTCTGAAATCGTCACAATACTACCAAGCGGTGCGCCGTTTGCTAACTCAGGCTTATTCCTCATTCTCTTAAATATTAGCATTGGAGGCACAAATTGTCCAGCGGCACTAGCACAGCAAACAACAGTCGTATTTACACCCCTTTCTCCACTTGTTATTGTGCCAACCTGCTTCTTTCCTTTCAATCCCACATCTTTTTGAGGTTTCTTTTGGACTGTTGAAAATCCACTTTCATCAACGTTAAATATGTCCGCAGCTGTTAAACTATATTCATCTATTATCTTCTCTAATAAATCATAGAAACCATAAACATTATGCCTATTAAAACCCTTTACTCTGTTTATGGATGTGCTTTCAGGCTGTCTGACACTCAGTTCTGGGTGACGTCCTTTAAAAGCATAAAACCAAGCTTTGCCCGCCATTTGCCTCTTTTCATTAAATGTGTTAGAAATGTTATGTTTTTCCGCTATATTAAATGCAAGTTTCCGTACGTCATTGATAGTCAGTCCAAACATGTGCTTTTCTAATTCTAAAATATGTTGTACTAGAATATTTTCCAATTCCGTGCTGAAAGTAGTGGGTCTACCTTTATGAATCGCTGAATCATTAGCAATCTTATTTTTCTTTCTTGCATGTCGCAAAATGGTCGGTTTTGGAACAGAATATTTGGTCGATATTTTATTGAGACTCATCTCCTTTCTTTCTAAGGCCAATAGGGCTCTTTGTAAGTCATCTTCGTTCCATCCATAGTATTTCTTTTTATCACTGTCCATCTGAAAAAAAAAACTTAACGTGGGTCTGGTAAATCGTACCAGTACAACTTAGACGCGTACTAGTGGTACGATTTACCAAACTAGTCGATCTATCAAAATAATATTTTTAACAAAATCCTCAAAATATAATCTGTTTGTTTTTTTACAGTATGAAAGACTTCTCAAAGATTGTTCAAGTAAAATAAAAATGAAAATCATAACGTACCTTTGTTGCAAGAAATATCTTTAGGTTTCAACATCAAATTTTACATAAAACACCCACAAAAACTTTTTTTATCTCTCGAACAAAATTTACTTGCCGGACGCCATTCCAAAATGACAAATAGTTGAGGGCGCTGTCAATGCTTGTTTTTGTGTTGCCAGTAAAGAAAAAATAAAGTGATTAGTAGCAAATCTTGAGGTGGTACAATTTATCCGGTGGTACAATATACCCAACTTTCCCCTATAAATAAAAGTTTATAGAGGAGTATAAATCATTAAAATGTATTGTTCCAGAACGTTTACATCGCCATGTATGACTACGAAGCAACCGATAGCGACGAGGTAAGTTGAAAAAGATCTGTTACACTAAGGGTCGGTGCATACTGGCGGAATATGCGTCAGAACTGACATATCATATGATATGACATTCGACCTTGCACACTCGACTGATAATTGATCGCGAACTTTCGAGAGACACCTGAAGAAGCTTCCGCCAGGTTTGCATACGCATACAATTAATATGGCTCACCAATGTATTTGCGTAGAAGGCTAGGGCTCACTTTACACCTTATGGTTAATGAAACAAGAGTCATTATTATCATACGTTCAATTATCATTGATATTGTTAGGTCTGCTCTGTTCAAACGAAAATTCACCGCAAGCCATATTAGTTGTATCTTACTGTACCGTAAAATGGGGTGAATAGTGATTGAGAGGTGAATAGGGATAAAACCAGGAAAATATTTGGACGCTTAATATAACTACTAAATTCCTTAAAAAGTCTTCCATTTTTTGTGGTGTAATAGTAGAATATTGAAAGTTCTCATAGCAACACTAAATATACATGACATTAGGTAGAAACGGTCAAAAATCCAATTTGAAAGTTACTTGTTGTGGTGGTAATTATTTTGTGTGTTAGAAACTTTGTTCTCTCTTATTTATCTGTTAATAATAGACGACAGCTGTGATTTCAAAACGTTATTTAGTATTTGGGCCTACATATATATTATAGGTAAGTCTCAGTTTTTATTGGATTTTAATTTTTTTGATAATTTAGAAATGCGTATAAAATCTGTTGTTTTCGGGGTGAATGGGGACGTCTCAGGTATTAATAAAAACGAAAGAGAGGTCAATGGGGATGAGAATATGTTAAATAGGAACGACTCAAGTATGAATAGGTACAGGTTTGTAGGGTTGTCACTAGGTAATTATAAAAAAAATATTCGTATAGGCAAGAATTTGGTTTATTCATGATTTTTTTGTGTAGAACTTTTATTTAATTAATTATGCAGTTTTATTTTATTGTGTTGCAAATATATTAAAGGTACATTTACCATTTTCAGATATTCATCGCGTGTACAAGTTCAAACCCAATGCCAGCCCTAGCAAATTTCTCTATTGACTCTATTTTCGTCCCTATTAACCCCAATTTCTGGGTAAATAGGGATAGCATATATTTTTGCCTTTTTAGCTTAAACTGGAATACTTATTGCATGGTTTTAAATAAGATTACAAAGATACCATCAAGACTCAATCATTTTGATTCTGATATAGCAATATATCCTTCAACAATTATCTTCAAATTGTTCATAAAGTTGGGAATTGTCCCTATTCACCCCATTTTACGGTACTAATAGATTTTATTTATCACGTATAGTCCAATCTTTGTAGCTTTCATCTGCGGAAAAATTCCTAGTGAGTTGAATTTTGGTGGACACCTTTATTGGGAAGTTTTAATGATACTGTGTTACGAGTTCCCTTATACCTTATACCTGCTCTTTTGCGTTTGAATTATGTTGATTCAAACTATTAGGCGAGCCAAATATTTATAGGGTTGTCAAAACAGCTATCTTGATTCGCATTCAAATCAGGCATCAAATTCAGAGTGTAAGGTGTGAAAAAAATATTTATTTATTTTAAATCAACGCTTCACCTTAGTAAAATGGAATAATATAATGGAATACAACAGCTCAACAACGGCCAGCGTATGTACGTTGCGATAAACATAATCAATTTTATATTTTATAATAAATAAAAGTCCAAGATATATATTCAGAAAATACATTTTATTTATCAAGATAACGTTGTGTCATATATAATAAATCCAATAATTTAATATACATGTGTAGTGTATAAATTCAAACTTTAAAAAAATAGCAAACTTTATTTTCTTTTGCTGTCAGTACTAAAATGACAGTTATGACATGAAGTTGGTAGCTAACCCGATCCTATTCTTATTCGGCTATAATAAGAAGGGACTGCTTATCGGACTATGTTAAGGTCATTTTAAAATATTTCTTGGGTGTAAAAGTCGATAGTAGTTTGACGTTTTCAGCAATCTTTAAAAGTGTTACATGTATATGCAATCAATTGCTATCTGGCGTTGATGTAGTGGAAGCTGTATGTGGTTATTAATTTGCATATTTTTTTAGTAGCACGCTATCAATGTAAATTTTTCACAGTATTTCATTACCATATTATAGGTGAATACCAAAATTCAGCTCGCGAGGAATTTATGTTCTTAGTTGCTTAATATTTAATTGTTTATTTAGGTATCGTTCCGCGAGGGTGACTATATATGTAACGTGAGCTGTATAGACGAGGGCTGGATGACTGGACAGGTGTTACGCACAGGACGCACTGGCATGCTGCCCGCCAACTATGTAGAACGAGTGAACGCGCGTGTCTAGACTATGCCTAACATATCGATAATATAATGCAACTGTAACCAACCAATATATTGTTTGAAACGTATGGTCACAGGGACGTACCGATTGTGTATACCTGCCTAAATATCTATTGATGACTTGCCTCACTGATAAATTCAACTAATACACAAGTAATCAATAACCTAAGTTAGATACTTATGATTTGTAAAATACCTACGCTTAGTATTTATTTAAGGCATGCGAAAAACGAACAATGACCATTAGATTGTGTAAAGTACACGTTACGTATCGCTATCCATAGAACTTTGTATCGTTTCTACGAATAACAGTTTTGTTGTACGGGCTGTGTTCAACGATTTATAGCGTCCTATAGCATCCTTTACAACAAAAAGCCGCACTAAGCGTAAACGATACAGAGTTATATGAATAGCGATACGTATAGTTTACTTTCAACACTCGGTTATCACTTTGGTTTATTATCTGTTTTTTCGCCTGCACTAGTAACATACAATATATATTGACAACAAATATAATGCATCTAACCACCCAAGTTTATATTCCATTTTTAATATTAGCTAATCACAAAATGTTTATAACCCCAGACGTCCGTGTCATATGATATTTACAACCGAACATTGTCAATAATAATTTTACACATTTAGCTATTTTTTTTTTGTTTTACACTTACTCTCGGGTATTGGAATTTTAACGATTATAATATATACACCAGTGATATAATTATAAACAATATTTACAAGAAAATTGTCGAAAATCTACACACTAATAAGTATTTGAACGTACACAAAATGGTTTATATAAATTAATTTATTGATAGCTCTTTTCAAACGTCATTTTTACTTGTAATTAATCATACTCACATATCGATTTACTCAATCAAGAAAAATGGTCGAGTATAAATGAGTGTTTTACTTTGAAAATGCGCCAAATAGGTTTTTTTTTAATAAAATATCTTAGCGCTGGAATATATTATTCATAATTTATTATTGACAAGGTTTGCAATAAATATTAATTGTTGTGTGTCACTTTACAATGTATTTAGTGAAATTCCATACATACTGATTGGCGAATTGAAAAAATAAACGCACTTTTTAAAAGTTCTGACTCCGATTTTCACATAAAAATGTTTTAGACGGGCGGGCTTTCGTCCTTACGTTCAGCAATTATTTATTGAATGCAAGAAAAAGCATCTTTTTAATAGAGTCGAATGTTTCCTGGAGTCATTTGTATTTTTCTAATGTTTAATTATTAACATTTTTAGGATACTCTATTGTTTATATTACCTATATGTATTTATGTATGTATATTTTAAAGGTATTTGTATTTTTCTTTGCCGTGAAGAAACTCTAAATCTAATGGTCCCATTTTATATAACTCGATTAGAGATGCCACGAATACTAATCGATATTCGGCAACATATTCGTTATTCGTTGGAATGATGTAAAACAGCGAGGCGTGCCTATATAAAATTATTACAGCAAAAAAACTTTATTTAAAAGATTTTCGGTATATGAAACATGAAAACTACTTATTGAAATTTTAGTTCTTAAAAAGTATTGTAACTTAACAAACGCATTTAGAAAATCCATTCCATCCATCCAATGATATTTGAATTTATAAATAATCGATAAACGGACAGAGGAATTTCTTTTCAGAATATAAACAGTTTCTTATTATATAAATGCCAATTTTTTTTTTAACTTAAGTAAAATATGCTTAGAAAAAAGTGTAGAACAAAGTTAGAAAGATATGATAACAAACATTGTAAATATACTTTAAGTATGATTTCAATATAATTATTGTTAGTTTTTAAGATTAAAAATTCTATATTTTGTCCGCATAATAAGTTTTATAACATTTTATTTATTAAGTCGTTTTTTAAACAATTTTTAATATAACATTCCGCACATACATAAATACTGTTTTTTAAGCATTCGGTTTTTTCTTATTTTTTTTAATATGTTTGTATTCAAGCACTGCCGCCATTCCTTGTCAACTTAAGTTCTTTAAGTCAAACTATTATGCTTCGTTTTTATTACATTTAATGCACGTTTATTATAAATATGTTTTATTTATTGTTTTTATAATAATGCCGCGTGCTAATACGAGACTGCAATTGTAATAAGCATTATAAATTATTTATAAGACAGTAAATAGTTGAGGAAATGTGTGGTTTTCACCAAAGACTTCTATGTGTATTATTAGTGTAGCTGTTCGGCACTGGAAAATTACTCTTTGCAGTGTTGTGTTAACTAGGATTGCCAACTGTACTATATTTCAGGTCTGCGTACTATAATATTATTTTGAAAAGATATATAGTACGCAAAAATACTATATTTTTAGCAAGGAAAACTAACCCTAGTGTCAAAGTGTTGGTAACCCTAGTGTCAACTCAACACGTCGTTTAGTCGATTGTATTGCTGTCTCACTTACTCCTTCTTAGTTAGAGACACGGCAACGTGTCCTTGCGCGCTCATACTATGTCACATTTGTTGAGAGCAACTTGAAGTATACATACATAGAAGTCTTTAGTTTTCACATTTAATTGTTTTAACGTACTGTATGTACTCGGTTATTTTTTTTTACATAATGGCATCACAACTCTCGTCATCTTATGGGAACAGTATTATTTATAAGACAAATGTAAAGTGCCTTTGGTAATATCATGTAATAAATTTTTCTATGCTATCATTGTTGATTTTTTTCAAATTTGATATCTACCTCTTTCTTAAAATGACAATGTAAATGGTTAATTCTGTCACGGTCTGAAATAAAAGAGGAGTGACTAATAAAATTGTTTAAATTATTTTTTTGTTATATATTATTTTATATGTATGTTTTATCAATTCATATATCAATATAATTGTTTATACATAATCGGTTTTGGAGATCGTTAGCGCAGTGGTTAGCACGTTCGGATTGCGATGTGGAGGTTAAGAATCTTTTGCATGCGATTTTCATAGGATGGGTGTCCAAAAATGTGTGGTGCTCTCTCTAGCTTCTCAGTTGAAGGCACCGTAAGCTATAGGGCCCAGCTGCATCTGCATATCTTGTCAATGTGACAAACCTAGTCTGACTAATTATGGATCAGTTAAAGGTGGAACGCCTGTCGAATTTTATCGGCAAGTAGCAAAAAAGAAACTAAATACACGTTTGTCTTTGTTCCATAGCTATTCTGATTATAGTTTAAATATTATATGAATATGAATATTTTTACTGACATTCACACCATAACATTACAATAACAAAAACAAAAGACAGACAATAACTTAGATAATACATTTCTAAAACAATATATAAAAATGTGTGGTCATAATGGCCAATTAGGCCAATTAGGACCCTGTCTCAGCTAATGTCGCTACTGTGTTTTATCACAGTACCGACGCTGGTATTATGACGGGGTCTATGTAGTGACGTATTGTTTGTGTGTGTTTATATATATGTAGATTAATGTTTCATAACAATTATATGAGACTAGAACATTCGAATGGAAGGAATAGTCAGAGCGTTAAATACTGTGGCTGTTGATGCTTAATTTGTTTCACTTCATGATACCCTACAGTGGCGAATACTTGCAGTATATGCTCTTTTATGAATGCATGCTATAATGACTTAACATTTTAAACAATTAACTTCTGAAGAGCTATAGTTTAGAATATATAGCGTGGCGCTGCCAGACTGATCTAAAGTGCCATCTTCTTGAGTAAAAGTGTTCTGTGAGTGCCGCATTTTATTTTAATTATCTCTAAAAGTATTTACTTGAGCCATTTATCGCCTCTATGTCCCAGACTTATAAATAATATAAATGACATTTAAAAAGAGGATCTGCACGCGTAGCATGACGAACTCGAGAACGTTTAGTCTTCACTCAAATATCACTTTTCTCGGGTGCGCCCATGAGTGTAGACAAAGCCTTTCTCGAGGTTTTCATGCTACGCGTGCTGGAAAGATTTTTTTGGGAATTCATTATAAGTACAGAGTTCTAGCTGTAGCGATGTCAGAATCAACAAGTTCTTTAGATTCAGTCTCATAAAGCATATAAAAAATATAATAAAAAAATACTTTTGTATAGAATTATTTCATTAAGATTTTCTTAAACATATATATTAGGATAAGTTATGACAATTTATTTACCTATTATACAAACTCAAGGCTTAAGTCATGCACTCTCTTTGTGATTAATTTGATAATACTTTACTCGATAGTGACTCAGTGGGTTAAGATAAGTGCCGCCGCCCGCGACGGTTGTTGTTAAGCAACTTTCGCAAGGGTCAGTTACGGGTGGATAACAAAAAAATATTGTCTCGAGCTATTCTGTGCTTTAAAACGTAAGCCGTTGGTAATATATAACGAGAAAAGCGTAGCGAAGCGTTCGTTTAAAATTTCGAAATATTTTTGTTTAGGGTACAAATATAAATTATTTGTATTTGTAACCAAGGGCGGATACCAACGAATACATGTATTGTCAAACTGGACTTTTACAAGCACAACTACTAACGAAATTTATATCATGCAACTAGTTCGTGATATTAATCCGATTTTATAAACTAAACCTTTTGTGATTTTTCTGGGGTGAATTAATTGGTCTGTCTATTCCGAATTTCAGTTCGGAATATTATAAAGTCAAAAGTTTTGATGTGTATTATTTCTTCACACAAAAATTACTGGACGGATTTTGATGAAATTTTGTGAGGTAATTCTAAGTCTGTATAAGCTTTTATCTCTCTAAACGGTTCCCTAGGGATAGAAGTACCGCTACGAACGCGTATTATTGCGAACTCTGCCCATACTGTAACAGATATATGAATTTCTTCTCACGAAAAATTGTAGAACTTTAAAATATCTATAAACAGTTCGCCATGATTAGCTCTAAAAAATGGTGCTAAGTTTTAGTGGTTTTAGTCACATAAATATAAAAGTTTAAGAAAAGTGTTGAAACTCGAGCGAACCTTAAAAATAGGTTAGTCGACTACTTTTTTATTCTATAAATAAATACTCCATTTTCCAAGTTTTATTTTCAACATTTGGCTAATGCAATTTATTTTGTTAAATATTTATAAGTTAAAAGGTTTACATTTTTCGATCATATATAAAAAAAATGTATTTTCACTTGTAAGTATAGCGCAGGCACCGCACAGAAAGAATTTTGTTTTGCTGACAGATATAGTTCGCTCGGTGGCGTAGTGGATAAGCGCCGCGGCCAGCGATCATTGTCTTTAAGTAACTTTCGCAAGGGTCACGGGATAAGTGACCAAAAAATTATTATCTCGAGCTACTCCGTGCTTCGGAAGGCAAGTTAAGCCGATGGTCCCGGCTGCATTTGCAGTCATTTATACCCTCCAATCCGCATTGGGACAGCGTAGAGGGTCATGGCCCATGATCCTTAACCATCCATATGGAAGCCCTGAGCCCCTGAAGTGGGGACGTAAAAGGGCTGATGATGATAATGACAGATATAGTAAACTTTTAAGGATCACTTTACAAGCAATATGTTTGCGCACGAATGAAAAAGATATGTAATGTCGGGTCATTGTACGGAAATCTTCCTGTTCGGCGACCGTACTATAGGCAACATTGCGAATGTATAGAACTCTGAATATCCTTTATTACAGTTTTACTTAAATGCTATGCGACGCGCTTCGTCGCCGTCTGGTTGATGAAGATCGTAGACTAAGGACTGGATCTAGGAGGTGAGTGTGGTGTGTGAGGAGGAGTGGTAAGAAGTGGGGGCAACTTGCCTCCTGCGCTAAACTCACGGGGGCGCCAAAATGATCATGCTATATAATACGGTTAAAAAAATTAACTTCACTTGTATATCCTGAATTTTAATTTAACTAAAGTTTCGGTGCATCGTTCGGAAGATGCGTCTCGTATCTTGAGTCGCGGAATGTCACAACTGACAAATAATATGACACTCAAATTTGCATACTCGACGGATGATCTCACTTCCGTCCGCTTGACAGACTTTCCGTCAGATTTGCACCGTCCGTTACACTTAAAGTAATTAGAGTTTTTGAGATTTTATAGTGCATCATTTTCTTCTTCCGATTCGGATTCAACTTTCTTCCGACATTTAGCGAAGTGGCCTTTCTTCCAGAGTAGAACAATGATGAGGACCAAAGGAAACGCTGCGAAGATACCTACAAACGAACAATCTATTAGGTATTAACCTTGTTTACCGTAAAATGCCATTTAGTATAAGTAAGATACTTCCAATAGCAAAAAACATCTCGCAATATACAAACATGAAATGTGGTATTGGAGGAAAATGGAGGGAATAAGTTGGGTAGAATGAAAAGACCAATGAGGTTTTAATAATGGTAAACGAAAGGAGAAGCCGGCTCACATCACAGAGAACAGCCCTGCGATTCTTTAAAAATCTGAACCCGATTTCGCTCTGGTATCTGAATTCATTTCAAAACCGGCATCCGCTCAACTTTGGTGATAACGTTTACTGGCATAAGTGAAGTGAGTTTCGAATTGATATAGGGATAGAATATCTGAGACACGTATGAATCAATCAATCAATCTTGTTTTGTATTTTTATACAAAAATTGAATCGATTAGAATTTCTACACTAAATGAGGTTAATTCGGATACATGAGAGAATTCGAATTCTGCTTCGGATTTTTACCGAATCGCTCTGCAGGAGCGTAAAGATGGTAGGACACTTGTTGAAAAAGTGAAAGAAAATGTAAGGGGATAGGGGAGGATAGGAACAATGGAAATTAATGCACCGACAATAGTATCACTTAAATGTTCCGTAGGTATGTATATCTAAGTATAAGCGGTATCACCTTTATGGATGAGACAACCCATAGAAGTGACTACCCGCTATATGGACCATTGCAGAGCGCAGTCCGTTTTCATTCTTCGTGGATTCAAAGTGTACATTTGGGTAACCGTCATTAATTACATTGTCACTCTGACTGTCTTACTTCATTAAGTAAGTCTAAGATTTGGAGTAATTGTTGTTCTAACTATTGGTTATAACTCTATTGACTAATTAATAATTGACGTTATTATCTATTATAGTTATAAAGCATTCAGTGATTATATGCTTATAAAATAGATGATTATTAGTATATTAATATATAAGTAAGATACAACTGATGCCTCTGACATACTATTAATGTGACACAGCCCACAGGCTTTCCTTATGGACTGCCGGTGTCGGTTTCAAGGTGTTGCCATGTCCGAGGTTCCAGTATCGATTCCCGGTCGCGTTTAGCCGAATTCTATGTATGAACCGACGCTCTACGTGCTGAGGCGCAATATAACGTCCCAATTTTTATTGCCGTAACACTTCCCAGTCGGTAATATAGAAAATGAACTTTGTATATTGTCTCGAATCTGGGTGTTGTGGTACCTTCGTTATCTCAGATAGGTACTCCATAATCCTTGTATTATATATTACTCTCATCTTGGAATCTTAGGAATGTAGGTACGTGTTATCTAATAATATTTTTTTTATATTCAATTCATCACTTGATGACGAAAAGTGGGCTAATTATCTATAGATTAATAGTTTAGAGTTACGCAACTTACTGGAGTAGCAGTCTGTTTGGAGTAGTGACACATAATGGCTATATCATAAGCCTACGTGATGCATATTTATAGCCGATATTTTGAACATCAATATAAAAGATTAAAAAAGTTTTCTGTTCTATAAATCTATGTTAATATATTTAGGAATATAAGCGTCAGTTATATCTGGCCTGCCCCATGTCACGTGTCGCGCGTTGGTGACATCACTATTATATTTGTATATGACATCGATCTGCTCGGTGACACTCAGAAATACACTTAGTGTTGTGTGCGTCGAGACAGAAATATATCTGTTACATTCTAATGTATGAAATAACATGCGGCAGTAACAGCAACGACACAACGTCACATAATGTCGCTCGCTACATCGCGTCGCTACGTAATATGTTTCGGTTAAACACATCAAAACATTTCGAATATTATTTTTTTTCTTTAATATGGACTTGTTCCGTTATACACGGAAATTTTGCCAACATTTGAATAAATATACTTCCGATTAAATATAATAGATTATACGAGACAGTACCTATGAGTACTCCTAATACGACAGCGGTATGCGATCCCGGCAACTCTGCGGTGTCAGCAGACTGGGGGCATACCAAGGTCTTCGATGTTTCGTACAGCTGTGCGAATGACACGCCTCTCACGTCCTGAGGCTTTGTGCATCTGCAGTATCAAAATTAATCTGATCTCCCTTTGTATTCTTTTTTTACCATTACTTTAATCACTCTGGAAAATACTAATTGGCGTCCAAAAATAATGCAAATAAATAAAAGTCGAATGAATCTGCGCAAATGAAGATTCAGAACGCGGCATATTTGTAGTATATGCCATTTAACATGGCGTAGAGTAGTGATTCCCTAAGTGGTTCAGGTGGACCCCCAGGCGTCCACGAGGGATTCAACGGGGGTCTACGTTGGCGTGAAATAAAAATAGGGCGCCAATTTCCATCGTTATATCTTCAAAATGTGATCTTCACATTTTGGACAAATTTTGGGAATATGGTAAAAATGTAGCAGCAGGGGGTCCACCGAAACCAGTAAATTTTTTAAAATGGTCTACGAGAAAAATTTTTTTGGGAACCTCTGGCGTAAAGGATAAGCGCCGCGACCGGCGATCGTTGTTGTTAAGTACCTAACTTTCGCAAAGGTCAGTCAAGGGATGGAAAGTACGTTAAGCCGTTGGTCCCGGCTGCAATTACAGTCGTTAATACCCTCCAATCCGCTTTGGGCCAGTGTGAAGGGTCGTGACCCATCCTCCTTAACCATCCATAAGAAAGGCCCGAGCCCGTGGAGTGGGGATGTATAAGGGCTGATAATGATGACATTTATGTAAAATAATAGTGATAAAAGAACTCACATCATATCAGCAGCTGATCCGTTGATCCTAGTGATGAGTGGCACAAGTACGTCCACCATCCACTGGTTGTTGCAGTCGCACACGTACGGATTGTCATGGAACGAAGCATCGGTGATCTGATCCCAACGGAACAGGAAGTCCGGGTCGATTTCAGATATATTGTTGTTGTGGAGGTACAACTGGTGAAAATATATATTTTTTTAATAATAACAATAAATTATTCTAGCGAGCTTCATCGAGACGAAATTCTCTTATGAGATCCTGGGTTGAGAAGAAATTTTTTTAAAGAATCTGAACGTGGAAATGGAGTCCCGTATAGGCCAGTGTCTAAGTCAAAATATATTTATTCACATATAAGTAAAAAATAATTGTACATAAAAGGATTTCTAAGCATTCATCAATAAGAATATTTTTTCAGTATAGTATTGAGAATGCAAAATTAATGAAATATAATAAATATCAAGGTTTAAAATCGAACTGATGTACTCGATATTGTGTGATACATCAAATAATAATTGTGTGTGAGCATCTATACATATTTTTATATTCCATTACATGTTTTTTATAATTAAAAAATAATCGTTCAATAATACTTAGTAAAAAATTTTAGAATTTCCTTTTCAATTGGGCAAAGATTTACTGACAATATTTTTGTACGACACGCGGGACGGGGATAGTATAATCACTCCCTTACGATTTGATATGACACCTATTCTATTTGTCCTCGGAAAATTTTAAATCGTTTTTAGAATTTTATTAAAATCACCAGAGGCACTGTCATAATTTAGCGAAAAACAGCGTTCCTGTAGAGTCGTATTAGCATTTGGAAAATAGATGAAATTTCGTTTTTGGAGAAATAGAATAGGCCTATAGATATCATTTTAAATCGTACGAGTAGTAAGTAAATATAAAACCCACCAGCGCGGGGTGAGGTGAGTCGAGGCGGGGCGGGGTGAGATATATGTAACCGCCGCCTTAGTTGTCCCAAATTCAATTGTTAGAAAAAAGAAACTCACTCGTTTCAAAGCTGGCCAGAGATCAGTACCGTCGTCATCCTTCCAGTTCAGGAATTCCTCGTCGATGGTCGTCAGTCTGGGATTATTGCAAATGTACAAAGTCTCGAGGCTGGCGAGACCGCCCAGTGCACCAGGTCCGATCCTTTGCAGCCTGGTGTTACACAGACGGAGCTCCCTCAACCTGATCAGTGAAGAAATGGACCTAAAAGCATAAAAACATTATAAAAATTGTCAGTCTCATGAGCATTTATTTTAAGATTTACTTTAAGATAAATATCAATATTTTTAATTAAATAAATATATTTTTCACCTTACATCAAAGATATAAAATAAAAATTATATGTAATTTCTATCTAAAAACACGTTGCTACTTATGATATCATCATTATCATCAGTCCTTTTACGTCCCCACAGCTGAGGTCGCGCCTTCCTTATCAATGGTTAAGGAAGATGAGCAATCACCCGCCACGCTGGCACAAAGCGAATTGGAGGGTACTAACGAATGCAAATTCAGCCGGGACCAACGACTTAACGTGTATTCCGAAGCATGGAGTAGCTCGAGGTAATAATTTTTGGTCACCCATCCCATGACTGACCTAACGAAAGTTGCTTAATAGCAGCGAACGCAGGCCGCGGCGCTACGCCATCCACTATCTATATCCACTACGCCACCGAGCTTCTCTTTATGATATACCTTTGATCAATCAAATTTAGCGTCATAATCACCGAAGCGCCCAAGGTGATCAAAAAGATGTCAATTGCAGGAGTTAAATTTTATCTAGATCAATAAAGTTGCATATTGATCTATAAACGCAAAGTTATCAAAAAATAAAATATAATTTCTTCAATTTTATCTAATAAACTAACAACTTGTTTCGAATCGTTTTGACTCCCTTTTACTAGAGCCAAGTACTTACTTTAAATTAGTGTATTAAGTTTAATCGATTAGAATCGATTTGGTAGTTACTTAGTAGCAAAAAGGCAAGGTTGTTACGATATTTTATTACTTCCTCCTTTTAGATCAAAGGAGGTTAATTAATTAAAAAAGGCCTAGATAATTATAATTAAAATGGGCGCTTATGTCGCAGAACAAGACATGATGATAATAATAATTAAATTAATAAAACTGCAATGCTGTTTAATATTTATTTATTTATTCTAAGTACTCACGTCTTTTCAGAGAGATTAGTGATTGGATTTTTGTCGAAATTCAAAAAGTTAAGTGTGATCGCTTCGTTTAAAGCAGCCGGCACTGTCGTGAACTTATTGTTACTGATGTCCAGACGTTCCAGACGTCTCAGCGAACGGAACAGGCCGTCCGGCAGGGTTTCTAGACCACACCCGCTGAGTAAGAGTTCCTATATAATTAAAATATATCTTGTCATAAGATATCGTACGTTGAGAACGATAGTGACACAATGCAAAAATGCGATTTTGAGTAATGAGCGTTTAAAGTTCAAGAAATTGTAATCAGCCCCTCTAAACAAAATATCGTTACAACGCCACCTAGCAGTTTCTATGCAAACTACGTTCATAGGGATCTTTGTATTTTAAAGTTTATACTTAACAAATAAACATTTTGCCAAAAGTGAAAAATATCGTTTTTGGTTAGTAACATTAACATTCTCAACGTGCGTTATTTTTTTAAACGGCAATTTAAGACGTGTTCAATAGGGTTCTACACTCTTTGAAATAATACTTGTACGTGTTTATTTATATGTTAACTAATATTCTGTACATATTCAATTCATTCTTAAAGTAGGTATAACAGATTATCTAAATACTGATTGAAATAAATACTCACCCTTAAAAATGGAAGCTCCGTCAAAGTTCCAGTAGCGACTTGATCAATAATTCCCAAAGGATTTCTGCTGAGATCTAGAAACCTGAAAATTAAAAAAGTACTGCGTCATCATCGGTCTAATAAAATGGAGTTTTTGGCGGGAATCTGCAAGAGGCACATGATTTCAGATATTTTTTTGTATTTCAATTATGTTAATGCAATTGGGTCATTCAGTGCCTACCTAGGAACAGACGATCTTACACTTAAATTATTCTTCTAGAAATCTATGTCTACATTTCAACAAACCTTAAATTGTGCATGAAGGCAAAAGCATCTTTCGGTATGACATGAAGATCATTGTAGGCCAAACTGAGATGTCTCATTTTAGATAGTGGCCTTATCTTTGAGTCTGGGAGCAAGAGACCCTGAAAAGCGAAAAGGTTTATTATAAATGCACATTTTTTCTCGAGGTAGCTTATCTATTCGGCAACAGAGATATGGTCTTAGTGTTCTAAATTACTCTATTTTTTATTTGGCGGAGTTCTTGTTTTTTATTTACAATATTATTAACTATTACGTTAATAATATTGTTTCCTTTATGGAATCAGGAATTTTATTCATAAAGATACAGTATACGAAAGTCAACCTAAATTCTGACATTTTGTGTAGATTTATTAATATTATTCGGCCCACTTTTATAGAAGACTTTTGAATATATGAATAGTCAATAAACATTAGCTTTCCCATTTTTTTTGAAGTCTTATCTAATTTTTATATACCTATATATTTAGTTTCTGCGTGTAAGTGTTAGTTTAAGGTTTACTTTCGGTAGGTAGTGTACTTACGAAAACGTACATACCCAAAAGGCTCTTTTGTTCATGTCTTCCAGCTCGTTCCTACTCAAATCTAGAACGGAGAGATTCTCCAGATACTTGAAGCACCAATCGTCAACCATTTCTATTCTATTATTCGACATGTTCAACCTTTCTATCGGCAGTTCCGATATTACTGTTAGCATTTCTATAGAGTTTCCGCTTAGGTCCACCTCTTTTATGTTTAAGCCCTTCAATTCTAGAATATAATAAAATTAAGTTTTTACAAAAAAAAATTTACTCGTAAACCATTACATTATTGATAAAATGAAAATCGAAATAATTGTGAATTTTAGGGATAATTTTGTGATTTCTAATATCTAGATAAAACGAAGAATAGTTCTATCTAGATATTATCTTTTGTATTTGTGAAGCTTATTGTTATTTGTTTTCACCACATTAAATTATGAACTTTTTGGCGCCCCCCTGACACTCCTTTGACAAATAAAAAGTAGTGGAATGAGTGAGAAAGTTTGAGCTGCAAGATTCATAAAGATTTAGCTTTGGTTAATGTACCTATTGTCTATTTAAAACGTGTACAAGTAAATAGTGAAACTTCATAATTACAATACTAGCCATTTGTTTCAATTTGACCGTACGTTTCTTCGTTCGTGCCAGTCGATAAGTCGATTCTGTTTTTTTTTTCTACATATTGCTGCTTTTTTATTACAAAGTTGTTTTGTTAAGTTTGCTGATATTTACGTATATAATACTCGACTATAATTGATGGAAGGTGAAGCAGACTTAAAATATTATCTATACTAATGTTATAAAACTGAAGAGTTTGGTTTGTTTGTTTGAACGCGCTAATCTCAGGAACTACTGGTTCTATTTGAAAAGTTCTTTTTTTTGTGGAATAGATCATTTATCGAGGAAGGCTTTAGGCTATATAACATCACGCTGCAACTATTAGGAGCGAAGAAATAATGGAAAACGCGGATGAAGTCACTGGCGGCCACTAGTTATTTATATGCCAACGGGGTACCGTAGACACATGAGTAGTAAAATCATGTGTCTATGACGTCATTTAGTTACGGCTGTCGACGGCCAGCTCGAAGCGAACGGCTTGTAAGTGTGATCATCAACAAACTGAATGAGTGACTTGAAGTACTTACGATCCCATTCATCAAGAGTGAACGAATGGACTAACTTCCTCTTGGTGCAGTCCAGTACGCCATCTCCGCAATCGCAAACTTTGCATATCTCTGGTGTATTGTCTTCTGTTGTAGTTTCAACTACGTCTACCACGTCCGCAATCAATAGAATCCCTTAAAATTGAAAAAGCGTAATTAAAAATGTGTCACTAACCGAAATCCGCTGCAGCTACCTAAGCTACCCTGTCTTAGCTCCGCCTAAATGGTTCATTTTTGTTAATTCGTGATTAATTCTCATAGGTACTGTTATAAAAAAAAATGAATAGCATGGACATCACTATTTATCGATTGTAATACGGGAATCATTAACTATCAGTCAGCTGTGACTGTGACATTGACATTGACTTATGATGAGGTTCGCGCCAATATACCGCGGGGGTAAAATGATGAGACAGTGTTGGAATCAGTTTAAAATATAAGATATATCTAATAAACCATATAAAAGTTGTTTTTTTTAATAGTACTATTTGACAGTAGAAACAATTTTATTGCACCAGATAAACTAAATTTAGAGAAAATTCTTTGACCAAATAAGCTTTCCCTTAGGAATATAATATGTAGAAAACGAACAAATTGTGACGTCATCGGACATTTAATATTTATTCACAAAAATTGTGAATAACTAAAACATTTTTGAATAGGTACGGACTTCACATCACCAGCCCTTTTTACGTCCCCACTGCAGGGGCACAGGCCTTCCTTATGGATGGTTAAGGAGGATGGGTCATGACCCTCCACGCTGGCCCAATGCGGATTGGACGGTATTAACGACTGCAAATGCAGCTGGGAACAACGGCTTAACGTGCCTTCCGAAGCACGGAGTAGCTCGAGATAATATTTTTTTTGGTCACCCATCCCGTGACTGACCCTTGCGAAAGTTGCTTAACGACAACGATCGCGGGCCGCGGCGCTTATCCACTACGCCACCGAGCTACTTTTATAAAAATGATAACGTCTAAAACTCACCGTCTTGGTCTTGTGTGGAAACAATTCCGATTATAGAAACAACACATAATAAAACACGAACACACATGACTTATAATAATTAAAATACGTTCTTACACCCTCCCAAAGGCACACTCACGATGTTTATTATAAATACGAAATGATAAAAATGTAAATCCTGATATGTCAAAGATATGAAAAATAAACAGTTAGGACAGTGCGGTGTTATGTGCCTACAGAGTTTGTGCTACCCGGAGACTGACCATTTTTTATCGTTATCGGCTATTTGAAAAAATATAAAAAATAAAAAATATATATAATAAAAATATATACACATATAACTCTCTCTGTCTCTATTAGAGTACCTTTTTGTAAAAAAATCCAAATATCAATGCACAGTGAGATACAACTAATGTGGCTTATTGGTTTAAGTTGAGTGGAGTGCGACGGACTTCAACTGCATTGTCTTACACCGTTATTAATTGTCGTCGGTATTGATCTGAGGAGATCTTTATGCAAATGAAGATTTTTACACCTTTTGGTTATTAATTATAGTCGGTATTGATCTGCGGAGATCTAACTAAGATTTACCACATTAGTTGGCTCTTATTGTAGAAACATAGAATTAAAATGTTGTTTGAAACATCTGTTCCGATCACTTATCTATGATGGCTGAGAACCAATCTCAAGATAACGTTTTTTCGTGAAAAAGCCAATGCTAAGATATCGCAAATTCAAGTTAATTTTAACACTCATTAAGTTGAAATTCGAATACCTTTTATTCTATATCATAATAAATTGTTTTTTTATCACTATAAGAAATGTGTTTCAGGATTTCATGTCTTATCTCTCAGGCCACATAATTGCTTTAAGTAATAATGTTTTGATTTTCTCTTATTCAACTGCTAAAAACCTTAATGATTTTAAAAGTTCGAGTGTAAAAAAAATAAAATGTGTTTAAATTACAGACCCAGTCAGATTCAATATAAGTTGTTATATTCTTTTTTATTATTGATATACAAATTATCTTACTTACTCAAATAAAATATTAAAATTTCTGTCAAATAAAATCTTTATTACCTTTTGTAGAAGGTTTTGATTGTACCTCTAATGCCCTTAGTCTTTATAGGTACCTCTAATAAATAAAAATGATATATAATTGAAATGTAATTAATTGATAAATAAATACAAATAATATAATTAACTCCTCTTAATGAAAAATGCGTAAAAATCCACTTTGTCCAACTGCTTTATTAAGCACAGCATTGTAAATGAAAAATCGATCTAATATAATAATAATCAACTTTGATTAAAACTGATTTATTATGAAAACGTTCCAAGTAACTTCTCGCTAAAACCTACTCGCAAAATTTTCTCTTGTACTAAAATATGATTTACTCTTATCGCACTGGTTATGTACTTTGTCGAGGTCATCGATACTATTACGATAAGTTGAAGGTCATTAATCCACGTTATCAAATTGTCCTATTTCCTTAGAGGTGCGAATGGTATGGGTACGTTATACAATAAAAAAAAATATATTCGTCTGCATTGAATAGACTCGGAAAGTACTAGATCGATTTAAAAAAAAAACACCTACATACGTGTAGCTACATCATAAGCTAGTGACAAAGGCTTTACCATATGCAAAGTCGCGGGAAAACAACTGCATGTATATAAATAAAAAATAAAAAATTGAGTTTTTCTAGCTTTAACAGATTTCAAAAAAAGAAATTTTTAATTGTTCTTCCAGACGGATTTTCATGAAAATGCCGTTTCTAAATAAAAGTGATGCTAACTATATATACACCCGATCACCGAGTCAGTTCCCCCGTCCGATCCGGCTGACCCCGTCCGATCCGGCTGATCGTTCCCCTTCAGGGAGTCAGCCGTATTTCAATCCGATGTGCCGAGCCCCCCGGGGTTAACGGCTAACATCTCGACGTCACTATTCACGTAAGTGTTTAGGGACGTCTGCGCCCCCCCCCCTTGAGGGGGCGCGGTCGCTCCGGTTGAAGGTTCGTTGCCTCCGGGCATGTAACCATTAGTCCAAGGCGGTGTTTAGTCAGTAGGAGTCTGACATAACCCTCACAGCCGGCTGTGTTGGTATCCAATGAAGGATTCACCGCCTCCTTCCTCCGTTGATGGGAAGGTGGTACCGAGCCCTTAAGGTTGAGAACCAAAAAAAAAAAAAAGAGTCAGTTCACCAGTCGGCAACTTATTACGCCACAGTCAAAATTGACGTCACAAATGTCATTATTTGACCTAACAAATGTCATTACGTGACACAGCCATTATTTGATGACACAAATGTCATTATGTCACAAGCTTTCAGGTTTTATGACGAAATTTAAAACAGGAATTAAATATATATATTTATACCTTTTTAGAACATTTATATTTCTTCGATAAAAACTAAGTTATGGCAACTGGCCGCAAAGCAGGCTTAAAAGGAAGAGTGCTCCAACGATTTATTTAATACAATAAGGGTTAAAATTATAAAAAAATAAAAACAACACGACTTTTATAATTTCAGTCAATTTATTTTCAGATTCAAATCCATAAACCAATGTATATCGTTCGATATTCAAAACAAAATTTATTTTTATTGCACTTAAAAACTATAGTTCAAAAAATCTAAAAAAACTAATCTTATCATAAAAATATAGTTTGCATTACTGGCCGCCCAAATGCGAAAATTATTACTTTTATACAAACCTGTATAAAATAGAAATATCTAATCACTAACCACATACATTTATATAACACCAATGAAATCACAGAGAATTTATTAATTCCTAAAATGTTGACAAATTACGAGATAATATTCCTGTTAACTAACATAAACCGTCTTAATATAAACGAGAACTAAAGTTAGTACTGGGTTTAAACCGATGGCCACCTAAAGAAAATCGACGATGACAGGAGACAAATGTCAAATAGAAAATTCGTTGACTTATTTTGTTCGGATAATGATATATCTATGCAGAGCGACCGTCTAATAGGGATGATGACTAATTTTTGTTTGTTTATCCGTCAGGTAGAGTGTTAAAAAATATTAAACATGTATTTTATTATTTTTTTCGTAATCATAAAATTACGGCGTTACATTAAGATGAAATTTCGCATGACGTCACGTTAGAGTACTTTTTCTACTCAACTGTGACGTAGCGAGCCCCCACTCCTCAACTTTAATGCCTGTTATCTAAGCTATTTCTTGTTAAATTGAAGTAAAAAAGAAATACGTATCTAATATTTTTCTATTATCTGACTGACGGACTAAATAGAATTGCATTTTTTTTACCCAGTCATCATCCCTATTCTCTAGTCTTAATTCTAGCCATAGGATACTACGTCTTAGCAATGTCATGACGATATTTCGTTTCAAGTTACTACTTTACTAATGACTTAGTTGGTAAAGTTGCTATCAATCCTTAATTATCTTTCTTTTTCATTCAATTACATGTCAAAGTAGTAAAATTAAAAACAATATATCGCCACAGCGTAGATAAGATGTCGTATCCAATAGCTAGAATCATGGCTAAGGCTGTCTTTCTTTCTATCCATAGGAAACGTCATTTCAGCGAATAGGTATTATGACGATATTTCATTTCATTTTCACTTTGACATGTCCTTTCTTTCAGGCCTATGTTCAGCAGTGGACGTCTTCCGGCTGATGATGATGATGATGTCCTTTGGTGTATAAATGACTGAATCTGTATTTATGATTCATTATCATTCGTTCTTCATTATTAAAGTACATGTCAAAGTAGTAAAACGAAACGAAATAACACTATAACATCGCTAAGATGCCGCATCCTATGGCTAGAGTTACAGCTAGAGAGAGGAGTTAGGCGGTTGCTCTGCGGGTACTTAAAGTTAGTTCTCGTATTTTAATAAGACGGAAAGTGTTTCCAAATTATTTTAATAATATCGGAGAAATAGAGAGACAGACAGATAATTTTTAACAGTGTATAGTATTTCGGATGTTTTAGTAACATTAATGGAACATATTCGCACACCTAGATCTTAACTGAGACAACTCAACAAACTAATGAGGAGGTCTGACAATACATTTGTTTACGTGGCAGGAGCGCGACCACTGTTGATTCAACAAAAGAAAGCTAAAGTTATCTAGCGGCTCATCCCCGAACCTTTATTGAATCTGTTATGTTGGATAGATGCGTATGATCACCGAGTATTTGAATATTGTACTAAGTCAAAACTCAAAATTTTGACAAATTTTGACAAAAAAACTGAGACAACTCAAAAAAACTCAAATTTTTGAGTTGTCTCAGTTTCGATCTAAGTGTGCGATATTTAAAAAAGTGTATCTTTAACACTTGAATATTAATATTTTGATATGTAGTAAACAATTTGTAGGTATGTCGACAGAAATCTAGCTTTACTATTATCACAGCGTTGTTAAAGCATCAGAGATACAATCAAATAAGGACTTTATTAACCTTTGAAGTGTTATTTGTTTGAACTCGGATGCTTCGACAGCGCTGCGATAGACGCTGTAATTTTAACAGACTAGTAAAGTAATAAATAATCGACCTGTAGGTTGATTATAAACGTTTTTATAGATTTTTTTTTTCATCTTCATCTCTGATTGAAATGAGATAAAAGTTTGTAAAACAAGAATATAACGTGTTTGTAAATTACAATATAAAGCAATATCAAAATTTATTCACTGTTAAAAAACCTGTATATTAGAAGTTTCACAGTAAATTACATGTTTTTTTTAATAAAAAAATTGAGATCAAATATAATCTTTATAAGAAATAAATAGAGAGATATAGGAATATCCAATTAGAGATCAATTAGGTTCCAAACTTAATTTTTACTTACTAAAAAAAAATTCTCCTCATTTTTTACGTAGCTACTTATTTTACTAATTAATTATAATTAGTGAACATTGTTCGTGTAAAATTGCAAAACAATTAATTATACTTACTAAAATTAAATATAATTTCAAAAATACTGGCCCCGAAATTACTGTTTGTCAAAGCTACATCTAAATCGTTACATAAGTATTAATTTACTTTATTTATCATTATTCTTCCAACGAGAGATTATTATATTATATTTTATTAACTTTCATAATACAAAACTGCTAATGAAATGTAAATAAATAATCATAATTCATCACCTCATACATTGTTCACATCACAAATTAACTAGCTTTTAGCACCGAAACAACGTAAGTGTCACAACACCC